CTAAACTCACGCGAATAATATGCGCATCCCATAGGAGCTTTCCTGTGAACCAAATACCAAGAATTTTAAATGCCGGTACACTTTCTATATTCTTGTAGCCATAAGTCAAAGACACACAAGATGATACAGTTCTACTCCTAGGGCGTGAAATGACCGCATTTGTCTGGGCCACATTTATTTCTAGCGCATTTAAGTTCGACCAGCCTTCTAGGGCCGCTAGCAATTCATTAACCCTTCTTAATAATTCGTCATGAATTTTACCGCTAAAAAACGCTGGTGTCATCAACCTATATAACGTAGAATGAGTTATCGTAAATAATAACGATGGCACGAATGTATACATCAAAAAATAACGGCCCCAATACACTTTCCTACAGCACGCCTAAGTTAAGACCTAGCATTTCTGACGAGTGCTTGTTACCGCTAATCTACTGACGTCAGTGTGACAAATAGGAATTCACGAGCTCACCAGCACATTCTTGAATCCCATAGCTGCCTAGCTTATCAAGCAGTACTTTATGATTCAAGCTGCTGAAGGCTTTTTTTTAAGTCAAAAAAGAGAAATAATACTCGGCGCCTTTCTTCTAAGTTTCGTAGAATGAATTCTTTCTGTGCCAACAGCGCAGTTTTAGTTGACCAATTTTTTCTGAAGCCATGATAGAATAGGGTCATAACGTTATGTGGCTCAATTAAAGTAGATAAACGCATCAAAACTGCTTTTCCTAATCTCTTAGAGAAAACAGAGAGCAGTGATATATATAGTGTTCTATTGCCTCTTTGGCGCCAGTGAACTCCACGTCCCTCGTGAGCCCTCGATTTCCTAATCTACTACATTCTCTCCAAAGCGTTTGCATAAATCTGGCAACGTTCGCTAAAAGCACAAGATCTGGCGTCGCATAAACTCAGTTGCTGCCATGCGGAAGATTGACCAAAAGATTTTTCCAATGAAAATTTTCATCTGATTTTGATGACATTGCACCGCACACGGTCCTGTGGCATTGCGCCTTCCTCAAAATACGGCCGCCGTGGTCGTGATCAAACTAGGGGTGGCGCTAGGGTGGGAACGCGGAGTCTGGAGCATCCCAAAAATTTTCGCCTGACACCCCCCTACCGTCCATTGCACCCCCTCCCCAAGAGGGGCAAGTCATACTGAGTTCTTTCAGTGAGTTCCTTCAGGTGAAAGGGCAAAGCTCTTTCCCTTGAAGGAACTCTCTGTTATTGTTTGTGCAGTGTTCGAGAAGGTTCAGGACTGCAGTAAATAACTTTGTGAAGATTACGCCCACTTCGTGAACATTACAGATTATTCTGGAACATAGGTCACCAATAGCAATACCACTACACTACTCATAACGCGTCGATTACCGCCGCCTGAACAAAATCACCATGAAGGATGTGTGCTCTCTCCCACGTATGCACTGTAAAAACTGTCCGTCAGAGGTATGGCAAAGATCAACGTAAAGCTCACGGGTGCCTCTCAATTCGTAGGAAGAAATAGAAAATGGACGTGGATGCCAACGGACGTATACTGTTATTGTAGAAACGGAGACAATGTCCTTCTTCAGTGGACCTTATGGAAAAGTCTAGAAGTTGGCTGCTCTGATTAGTTATTTTCTAGCCGGAATGCCACTGCCAGTCCACTTTTTTAGGGGACACAATGTGTTGACAGAGAGCCTGGGTGCGTGTAACTAACATTCGTTTTTTCACAGTTCCTCTTTAATCTTTATACTTTGATATGAATACTCTTGACGTGTTGTCGATAAGCACATCACCATAACGCACCACATAAGTCTAAATCAATAACAGCCCCCCGGAAATCATGTGGTCTAGCCACGGGTAAATGAACGCGAGCGAGCACTACAAACGCGGCTGAAGCAAAGGGGAAGCAAGCTGACCCATCTCAGTCGCACCATGGGCACATGCGATAACATCACCCGCGTGCGAGGCATGTCATCAATTTATACTGAGGTAGAGAGTAAACACCCTGTCTGTCTTGAGGAATGCCGGACCACAGGTAACTAGAGGGAAGCTGCCATATTACCAAATGGGAAGATAGCCGCCAATCAAAAACTTCAAAAAATGTTTCCTTCCATAAAACAAAAATTGTAACAATAAAACTTGAGATATTAAAAGAACTGCTCTCTTGCTTTCCAGTTGGATATAAATGTTATGTGTAATTAGACCACCATGTGGTGCAAATTGGCCTCAATGTGGAAAAGGTTCATGATTTTGGAATGTTTGTGATTTTTTTCTCGTAAATTTTGCGACTTGAAAGATGCAAAGGTAATTTTTTGCAAAATATACCTTCTATGAAGTAATTATTATTTCTCATATAATCAATAAAATAAAATAGCAGTAATGCAGTAGAAAAACTACAAAATAACCCCTTTCGGCAAATTCTTGCATGTGTATGTCGCCAAAAAATTTCACTAATAATGTTTACCTTACAACACCTTGCACACGCATCATTGATTATTTTATAAACTAAATTCCGTATTGAAAGAGAAAGTGGCACTTCCAAATAATAATTTTTTTCACGAACAACAGCCGTAGAAGTTTGAATAAATTCGGAAAGCACTCACGTGACCATATTTTTTTTCTTCCCCAAATATTTTAGTGATTCACTGCTTTCAATTCAGTGAATCAGCAGGATCTTATTTCGAATTGATTTCAGGTGGTCGCCAAAATAGCTGGTATGTTTGGCGTACAATGACCCCACTACGAACGGCACTGGCAGCGAGTAATGCTCCCAGCTTGGAGCTAAAGCATCAGCGCTTTTGTGTAAGGAAAGAGTAGTATGAAAGGAGAGGTGGAAAAAGGGAAGAGAAGGGTCTGAACACCTGCATCCTGCGTGCACCTCGGTGAATGTGACAGCAAGGGTTACATGCAGCCGCCGTGCGTAATAATCCAACAAAAATACAACCAAATTACTTAAAAAATGCGAACTTTGTTTCGTGGAACATTCGCGCCTTTCTATCAAAATTTCACTGTTTTCGCCAAATGCTCGTAATTTTTATTCATTATCTCATTAAATGGCAGATAGTGAAATTTCTAGAGACCACTACTACACGGAGTCCCTGATAATATTAAGGGGGTGTTGGGACGCAAACATTTCTCGTTTTCTTCTTTCTATTCGAAGATTACACGCCATGCCACCCCCCTTTTTTTGCCACAAACACACAGCAGGCACACTTGTTTGATATACCTGATATTGCGGCACAGCGGTAATGTCGTAAGCGGGTTGTTTTGCCAAAGAGAGCATATAAACATTGGTGGCTTCATCTCATTATCATCACTGATATGCCGTTGAAACCAGTATTGATGTAATGGTGGGTTCCACACGTTGTTATGAGCTTGCGGGAATTTTATATTATTGTGATCCCTCTGATGTAAAAATTCATATGTCCTGTCATCAAGATTTTCAGGGTTGTTAGATTGCGCGTACACCAGCAAATAAAAAACCAAGTGCGTTGAAACTAACAGAGTGGGTGCACAATCTTTTTTTTTATTCTCGGTAAGGAAGTTTTTTTTTCTGTTTTATTCGATTCACAATAAAAAAGTGGTCGCAATTGCAGGCAAAAAATTGCGTACACGTGTTTTGCGCAACTGATAGTGAATCTCATCAGTCAGACAGCGCGTACGTATAACTTCATGGTGTACCTCTAAAGTTCTTGCACGCAAAAGTAAACTACGACAGCCTCACCATTTCTAGAAACTGTCTTATTCTCAAGTGCACAGGTTATTGTACTGCATTGGAGTATGTAGCGAATACAGCGAGCTATTACCGCAACTGCAAAGCATGGTTTCAATATCGTTTCAACGAGAAACTCCTCAGAGCGTGGGCCCCTTCGCGACACCAGAACACCGCCGCGCGCGACGATCCAGGCGGGCGTGCGTCGGCGGGCCGGCTCGCAATCACATCTCTCTGACGTGGTCACGTGATGTATGTACGCGGTGCATGCAAGGTCGCGCATGCGCGGCGCTCGCCAGCCAAGATGGACGCTTGTCATGGCGGAACGTCACGGTAGAGGACTCGTTAGAAACGACCATGTTCAATGGCGATTCGCGACCCCAAGACGTCTATTCGTTGTCCTATTCTGATCGGCTAACCTGTGGTTGCATGAAGTCGGGCAATATGCCACCAGAACTTTGCGCAAGTTGTCGTTAACTTTACTACTTCTAGTCACCATTGCGTCGGAACTTTCCCGCCAAGCTGACAACCGAACAAGTTTTGTGCATTTCGCTATCAGGTAAGTCCTATGTTACGGCTCTCGTGAATTTCCCCGCCTCCGGCCTGTTCGACTGCCGACAAAATGCTCATGCCTCGAATGTTTACGCTGCTTCAAAGCGCACAGAGGCTTACTCAAAAGCGGCTTTGTTTGCGCGCGCGGTTTCGGCGTATTTGCGGATTTTGTGCAATGGCGGCGCGTGCCCCTGACCGTGAAGTTGGTTACCAGGGGTTTAGCGGTGTGGACTTGATAGCTGCTGTCACGTGTCGTGTTACAGTACGCATTGCGTTTTATTGACAAAAATTCCTCTACGTTTTAGATGAGTGGCCGACAAAACTTCGCATCCCATCCTTTTCGTTGCAGTAGGGTTATCAGGCGACACGACCGAAGTTCAGTTGACATGTTCCGTACAGATAAACAAGCCACTTTGATTAGCAGGATTCCGACAGCTGAGCTGTATCTGATTGCAATAATGCACTTATGGATATTAGCTCGGCATATTCTGCCGGCAGCGTTAAGTTAACCGTGTGCAGGTCCTGTACCGGCATTAGTTGCTCAACTTACGCCTAGCTTGTTGTCCTTTTAGACCTCGCTATTTTTGCAGGGTCCTTTAGTAATTTTCTCGTCTAAGTTGGGCGCCAGTGACCTATGCTGAGGCCCTTCACAGCTCTCGCTATTTGGCTTTCAGAAAAAAACGTATTGGTTTGGTTTGGTTTGATTTGGTTTGCTTTTATTCAAGGCAAAATTGAACAAGATTGCCCTGGGGGACACGACTAAAGGCTAAGTAAAAGCGTGACTGGGTCGTGCCACCCTGGCAGAAAAGCAGAAACACACCGCAAGCACAGCACTCAGAAAATGTTAACATCACGTGTTATCATACACGGGCACCATAATCAAACAGGAACCGCCAGAAGTGTGAACAAAAGAACAGAAATACAAACAGTCCTCATTCGAGTGGTGGCAAACACAAGTAAATGCAGGCCCTCTATCAAATATATTAAGAAGAAACATCTTGACTAGAAAATCGAGTTGCTCTACAAGACAAATATAGATTATAATAAACAACAGGCAAGGAACAATAATGAACAAGGTGCAACGAATACAAAAACATCATTAACTGCAAATTTCAACAATCAAGAAAAGCATCGGTTTCATCCACTAGGAACTCTTTCGTTATTTTTTTAATTGATCTACCTGAAATTCCGTCTTCAAGTAAATGTAATATAGTTGGGTGTTTGTTTAGAATGTTTGGAATTTGTGACGCTAATCGTTGGTCACCGTAGTTCGTGCGTGATCTATATTTGTATATCAGGCTCTTTCTCAGCTCGTATGGTGTTTGCTTCACATATTATGTGTCCAAGAATAGTGATGTATTTAGTTTATACTGGTGTAATATCTCTAGACATAGCTTATGTCTGTATAACAGTTTTATACGTAATACTTCGTACATTTTAAAATATGGTCGGGCACTTTCGTAAAGGGGAGTGTTGATATAGCACGTATAGCACGCTTTTGTAATATCAACAGAGAATGAAGGTTTGTAGTGGTCGTTGTTAGCCACACCAAGGAGCAGTATGCTAGTCGTGAATGTACTAGTGCGTAGTAAATTTGCAGCTTGACATTTAATGGGACGTAGTATGTCAGTCTATTTAAAATGCCGATTCTCCTGGAAAGATCTTTTTTTTATCGTGTCAATGTGAGGAGACCAAGAAAGTTGTTCTTGGAATAGAACTCCTCGAAATTTTATTGTTGTTGTGCGCTGAATCTCGGTGCTCTGGAAGTAAATTGGAGTGCATGGTATGTGAGCTACTCCTTTAGTCTTGAAAAACATGTAATTTGTTTTAGCGATATTCAATTGAAGTTCATTTGCATTTACCCATGAATTTAATTTCTCCATCCAAACGTTCGCTTCTTTATATAGTTCACATACGTTTGAACCTGCGAAAAAAACGTTTGTGTCATCAGCATACAATATTATTTTCTTGTGTCCATCGATATTTACGATATCATTAATGAACAGCAGGAATAGGATTGGTCCAAGAATCGATCCCTGGGGGACATCATACTTAATGTGTTCAACTTGAAAGTGTGTATTATATACAACAGTATATTGTTTTCTAGACGAGAGATAACCTTGTATTAACTGAGCTGTGGTACCCCGAATGCCATAATACGGTAGTTTTCGTAAAAGTAGATCGTGTTGTATACTGTCAAATGCCTATCTAAAATCCAGAAATATTCCTAGTGTAAAGATTGTGTGTCCAATGTTGTCTAGAATGTATTCTTTGATGCTGAGTAGAGCCGACTCAGCAGACTTGTTTTCGCAAAATCCATACTGGTCTTTTGCTATTATAATGTTTGCGTTTAGAAAGCACATAATCCTCTTGTATATAACTCGTTCAGCCATTTCCGCGAACACAGAGAGTACAGATATAGGTCTGTAATTGTTAAGCTCATCAAATGACCCACCTTTATGGATGACAGTTACTTTCGCAACTTTCATTTGATCGGGAAAAACACCTGAAGATAACATGAAGTTATAAATGTGCGTTAATGGTGTAGCGATAATGTGACTTATAGCCTTTAAAGGCTTTGGCTTAATGTCATCTGGGCCGCAAGCACAGTTATCCTTTAATGACGTGATTAGCTTTACCACTTCTTGTTGATCAGTAGGAAACAGGAATACACTAGACGGGTAATTTGATGCTATGTAGTTCTCGCAACACGTTTCCGTGCTGTCTGTGGTAGACTCACCAACTGTTAAAAAGTATTTGTTAAAGGTGTCAGCGATTTCTAATCTACTCATGCCCAGTTTTTCAAATTTTATTCGTCTGGATATCTCCTTTTTGTTAATGAGCTGATTTATTGTGTCCCACAGCCGGCGCGCGTCTCCTGAATGAGTGGTAAATTTAGTAATGTAGTATTTCGTCATGGCTTTCTTCAAATCTTTGTTCAATGTATTACGAATCTTTTTTAATTCACGTAAATCGTTTTCGTCTCCAGAAGATAGGAAAACTTGAAAAAGGTTGTTTTTGACTTTAATTCTGTTGTATAGTTCTACTGTCACCCATGGTTTTCTGCATTTTCTGTGTTTTTTGTAGGGCTTAAGAGGGAAGCACGCGTCATATAAAGATGTCAAGTGTTTTGAAAATATGTTGTATGATTTATTAGGATCTCTTTCTTCTGTAACCGTGCTCCAGTCAATTCCAGAGATAAGGTTCTCAAAAAGTTTAATATTGCAGACAAGTGGAAAAAGAACAAAGTGGAAACACCATGCGGAAGAGATCGCCTGATTCGAGCAACCCCGGAGGATGCACAGCGCGGGTGCTTCCCAAGTTCGTAGGGCGAAGAGGGACGAAGAAGCTGTCTTCGCTGTGATGGTTTGGCAAGAGTTCCGGAACATCAACTCCGAACGGTATAGTCCCTGTTGCCCGGGCTATATCTACTCCTGTCAATGTCTGCACCTTGCGCCCCATGTTTTTTGAACAAAAGTAGCTCCCTCGGTTTCTGAAACAAGGAGTTCAAAGTTAATTTAGCGGCTGTCACCTTTAACTGCAGCTCAATCAAAGACTATGAAGGTCTCGAATATATGCCATTGTCATTGCTCTCAATGTTTGCAGTGATATCGCTAGCATTACTATGTATAATGTAGTATGACTGCTGCTGGTAAACATATTGTAATACTGTTACAAGCTGCCACTCTAGCGTCGCCAGCGCGAAGTCGGCGACGGGAATGACAGCAGGTTAGTTCGTTCCGTACGCAAGCAGAAACAGTGAAGAGATCAGAGACGTGAGAAAACAAAACAAACTTCACTCTAGTGATATTGCAGCACATGAGATCTAGTACAACACTTCAGTACAACTAACAAAATACATCAACACTTAATACTACAAAAATACATATAAAACAATGAATCAGCTTACGAGAGAAAACTATTACAAACTACACAAACTAACAACAATAGAACTACGGAGGAGAAAGTTTGAAGATATAAACAGGTGAAGGCATACGTGTGATGACCGGCAGCGTTGCGTCCTCGACGATCGGATGCGAGAAGTCGAAGAGAGTTCTAGCACGACTGCGATGTCGGTGGTGTTGCAACGCTGGTGGCTCCGGGAGGCTAGTGCTTGCAGGTGACTTCGGGCAGGTTCGGCTAACTCGAGGCGAAGTCCCGATGTCTACGTTGAAGACGTTAATATTGCGTCACAACTAGACGAACGGCTAAGTTTAGGTGGCCAGCCGATACAGAAGCACACTAAAAACTTCTAGAAGAGATACCTGTTGATCTGTTTCTACACCATGTTGGTCAGCGACTAATCTGCCTAGCAGGGCAAAATCCTGCGCTTAAATCCCCCTTGTGTCCCCTCGCCCTCTTCCTTGGGGACAAGAGACCTCTACATGGGTCCAATTATGCGCGTTTCATTGATGGAAACTCTGCCCCAAAAATATATTGACCCCACCCCCTTTTAATTAGGAGAGGGCCCTCAACTAGCGAGAGTGACAACTTGTTGGGGTGCTGTCATACGGCTTGGCCACCAGAGGTTTTCCCACGGTTTTCCCGTGGGAGCCGTCAGACTGTTTGGCTCTCAGCCGGTGCGTCCCGTAGTCTAATCCTTGTTCGGGGTACATCACGGCCTTCCACGACCCTGCAGACGCCACCGCAGGTACAAAGGATCAAACGTCGGCGGTGACGTTCGAAGAAGAGCACCCCATTCTGCACTTCTCGGCTCTCTTTCATGCGCCCGCCGTTCCCACGGTCATCGGGGGAGTACGGCGCCCGTTAATTGCCGTGACGCGGGGTCGCTAAAAATGGCCGTCCGTGAAAAATACTATATTTTAAAAATATTGTGCCTTTATCTCGATACCCAGCATCAGATAAAATGTGACACGCGGAAGAATTATTAGCAATCAAACATAAAACTGAAATATACTTGCACTTTTTATTCAAACGCTTAGGTACTTAGAATTAGTGGCATGCCACTTTTAAATGACTTCATTTGGTGCTGTCACTTGGAGATGAAGCCAGCGGTGGTTGTTGGAATGGGTATACTTAAATTTGGCCAGACCACTTTGCCGTCTGTGACGTCAGGAAATTTCGAAAGCACCACCTGGACAGCGAAGTGAGTGCAAGACGTTGTCGTTTCACATTGGCTTAATGGTCTGCAAGTGTTAGTGAAATTGAGCACTTTCTTTACTTTTTATAGATGTCACAGAATATATTGTCACGGGGTCGTGACGTGCCCGAAAACAGGGAACTTTGTGGTGGAATTTAACTTTTTATTTGGGTGAACCTGTGCCCGGTAAACGGAAAGTCCAATTACACTAGCAGTCTTGGACTAATAGCGGTGAATTGAGCGTCGGCCGCCGATCAACTACTCACAAGCGGCGAAGTGTGTCGGCGTTTATACTCTTGCCATCGAATGTTCTAGCGTTATCGCTGGCGTCGGCGTAGGTTTCAATAATCTGTACAGTTCGCAGAGTGGGCATGATCTTATCGAAATGATCTACTGAAGTCCCGAAGCTTCTCGAAAACTGCAGGCGCGGTTTGCGCTGAGAATTGTGTAGTGTTTTGGGGCGATAACAAAACTTGAGAAATAGAAGGTGGCATTGCCCCCCTCTAAAAAAGACATCGTCCCGATGCTTTAACTAAGATGAAGTTACAACAATAATGCAAGAAATTATAATTAATAAATTACGATACAATAATAATACAAAAAACACTGTTTCAGTTTGTTAACGCGCATGAAACGGCTTGAGGCGCATGACATGGACGACTTCAGGTTGCGATCGGCGTCGTTGAAAGTTCGTGATGCTGTCGGGAACAACCTCGTAATCAAGTGGGCCAAGACGTCGAACCACCTTGTATGGTCCGAAGTACCGTCGCAGAAGCTTTTCACTCAGTCTACGTCAGCGTATCGGCGTCCATACCCAAACACGTTCACCGGGCTGGTATTCCACGAAGCATCGTCGAAGATTGTAACGGCGGCTGTCGGTCGTCTGTTGATTCTTGATACAGAGGCGTGCGAGTTTTCGGGCTTCTTCGGCGCATTGAAGGTACTCACTCACATCGAGGTTTTCTTCGTCGGTGACGTTGGATAACATGGCATCGAGCGTCGTTGCCGAGCTCCTTCCGTAGATCAATTTGTATGGAGATATCTGCGTCGTCTCCTGCACCACCGTGTTCTATCCGAAGGTCACGTACAGAAGAATGGCATCCCAACTCTTGTGTTCGACATCGACGTACATTGCCAGCATGTCGGCGATCGTCTTGTTTAGCCGCTCGGTGAGGCCGTTGGTCTGAAGGTGGTACGCTGTCCTCCGGCGGTGGTTTGTGTGGCTGTATGCGAAGATCGCTTGAGTTAAGTCGGCAGTAAATGCCATTCCTCTGTCAGTGATAAGGACCTCCGGGGCACAGAATATATTGTCACGGGGTCGTGACTTTCCGAAGACAGGAGACTTTGTGGTGGAATTAAACTGTTTATTTGGGTGAACCTGTGCCCGGTAAACGGAAAGTCCAATTACAGTAGCAGTCTTGGACTGATAGCGGTGAACGGAGCGTCGGCCGTCGATGAACTACTGACAAGTGGCGAAGTGCGTCGGCATTTATGCTCTTGCCATCGAATGTTCTAGCGTTATCACTGGCGGTGGCGCAGGTTCCAGAATAATCTATACAGTTCGCAGAGTGAGCGTGATCTTATCGAAATGATGTACTAAAGTCCCGAAGATTCTCGAAAACTGCAGGCGCGGTTTGCGATGAGAATTGTGTAGTGTTTTGGGGCGATAACAAAAGTTGAGAAATAGAACGTGGCAATATACTGTAAAATCGCAAGTTCCTGCCTTCTTTGGAGGATTTAAAATATGCGGCCACTTGTTTCTTCTAACCATTTTCACTCTTTTACACTGTTTATGCGCCAAACTAAAACAATTTCTGCATGCGTGTGTAGCTTATGAAAAACATTGCTGCACTACCCCTCCCCCCTCTCTATCGCCAAAGGATAAAACGCTGCTGCCAAACGTGCGTTGTCTTTGTTTGAATGCCTACTTTTTTAGCTGCGTACTGCAGGTAGCAAACCGAAGTGCCCTGACGAACTGTGCAGTGCTCACCACACAGTGAGCCAAGCATCCCATAAGAAGTGCTTATTCAGCATCTGTGGCTAACTCAAAGATAACGTACAAAGTTCTATTTAATGAAGAAAAGTGTTGTTTTGAGCTTGTCATGTCGAAGTGAAAATATTGCAAAGTAAGTGAGGGTATACAGAGTGACATCAGGATGTATGCTATCTACCAACATAACATCATTCATGCCAAAGTGTTAATTATGATCAACCTTTTTTCAGAAGTGCAACGGTTTGCATGAATGAGCATAGTTGGAAATTGCTGCACATCTAGTCACTCTGTATTTGCACTCATTAATATGTGGCCCTTATTCTTGTGACCACCCACTGAGATAAAATCGCTTCACATAAACAACAATAAAAAGGCTTTTGCTAGCTTTGATAAGAAATTATTGTTATCATAGTTTTTAGTTCCAATAAATCATGCCGAAGAAGAGTACTCCACCTATTTGTCACCATGGCTAGTGCATTTCGTCTGGAAACGTGACTTGGTTTTGCAAAGTGTTGCCGTTCTGTAGAATGGGGTACTGGCAAGTAGTTTCACAAAAACTGTCAAACTTTACTTTGTCTTGCAGCAAACATTGTTATCATGCATGCATAGTGTGAAGAATAGTGACCGACTTTGAAATATACAACCGTATCAATAGAGTGTCTTAGACTGTCTATACTGTATGCGATTTGTTTCTGCCAAACATAAACCTAGTTTTTACCATTTTTCAAGGTGAGTTGCAAATATTTCTGTGTACGTTTGCACGCACACTTTAACCACTGATGCTAAACAACAAGCTTGAGTGATGTGCCTTATTCTTGTCTATAAATTTAACAGAATACCTAAAATGGGCTCTTCTACTTGGTGAAATTATTGGCTACTGTGTGCACGTTGTATGAATGTGGATATGAAAATTGAGAATGCAGCTGGTAGCATTGAATACTGTTTTCAGAAGCTTGTATACACTGCAAAATATTGCTGGTGCCAATTTTTTGGGGGGTGTATTATGAAGCGACTAGTAGCCAGCAATACTGCATTGTGGCAGATAATTGCACAATGGAGCATTTTTCAGCTGCTCACGTAATTCGAGCAGATGTTGATCACAATCACTGTGGGAAGACATAACCACAAAGATTATGCATCGGCATCCTGCATACAAGGAACCCTTATGTGAAGCAGCATGATGCTGTGATGGGACAGCTAAGTGAGAATTGGGTTTTCTTTGTCTGTAAATATCATTACACAGGTTTGCTGAGTGCACTCGAGTAGAATCAGCAGGCACTTGCAGCGACAGAGTCAGTAGTGACAGCACATTTCAATGGCAGAATCACCTGTATATTGCATTTTCAAGAAACTGCATTATTTTGTGACACCTTTCCGTCACAGCTTGCTCACTCATTTC